TAAACTAACATAAGTGATGTTAGGAATTCCAGCATTGAGCACTGTTTTGCATCCAATTTTGGGGGATGCCTGTCCTTTGGTTCAACCAGATTCCATTATTATGTGCTTTCACACAAAGCCCTTAGGAAAAGTTACTGAAAGTGAAAGGTCCATTCTCGTTCATGAATATGGTTCTGGAAATCAGGCTCTATCAAAACAGTCACAGCTTCATTCCCGGAGCAGTTGCACACTCCATTTCATTAATCCCATTATCAGCCCTGAAATGCATGCTGAGCTCTCATCTCCAGAGAAGGGAGAGCCTTCTGACCAAAAGGTCTGTGTGGGGTGGGGGAGGGATGCTGAGTGAGCATTTCAGCCATTTCCCCCTCCCCAGAGCTAGAGGCACAAATCCCCACCGTCAGGGCTGAGGGGAGCCACATAATGCCAGGAAATAAACCTGCTGCCGAAACTGGGCGCTTCCTTCAGATCCTTTCTACTGCCTGGGAGGTCTCTTTTCCTGGGGGTGGTGGAAGGGGGACAAGTTGTGATGAAAGGGAACCTGAGATTGACACAATGTGTCTTATCTTTCATTCGAATAAAAGCAAGAGGTATTCAGGGCTGGGCAGACAGCATCCTGAGAAATGGGATGGGAAGGATGGAGGGACTGGCTAGAACAGCCTGCCCTCGCCTCACTTGGAGATCTCGTTCCTCCTCAAAACTGCCCCAGATGCTTAAAGACATGTTTGTCTGCTGCCGTAATGCGGAGTGGAGGGACTGGCCTAGGCTGCACATTCCTTCTCCTCTTCGAACAAACCAGGGTCATTTGGAGGATCCCAGACCGGGGGAGTGCTATCATCACCCTCCCTGAAAAGCCCAAGATCTTTTGCTGCAGTGTGGGTGCTGTGCACAACCCCACCAGCGGCAGAACTTTAATGGGCCACAGCAGCCTTATTCCTTCCTGTCCTCTGTAATGTGTTTCTCTGCAGCTGTTGCACAGCTGTGGAATCCCAGTCCAGAGGTAGATGATGCACTTTCAGTGCTGGATAATATAATTCCTGGAGGTGAAGGTGGGGAGAAGGAAATGGAAGAGCTACATTCCTTGAGCCTCTTTTAAGTTCCAGACACCTGGCTCTGTGTTTTACATAAATATTATTTCTAATTCCCTCTAAACTTCATACAACGAGTTAAATAACTTATCCAAAGACATAGCCACTCCGTGGCTGAGCTGGGATTCAAACCCAAGTGTGTCTGTCCAAGTTTATAGCTGGGTCATTTTACACCCAACAAACTAGTAAATATCAAAAACTCTGACAATCTCTATTGCTAGGGAGCAGAGGCAAGGGGGAAAGGGGGTAGATAGTCTCCAAATATGGCCACAAGTCCCCTTATCCCTGTGAGGTCATGCCACTTCTCCCATGAAGGAGTAGAATCTATTAATCTCTCCTTGAATCTGGCCTGGTCTTCTGACTTGTTTTGTTAATAGAATGGATTAGAAGTAGCATTCTTGAAGATTTGAGTCCAGGCCTTAAATGGACTGGCGGCTTCCGCTCCCTCCCTCTGGGAAGCCAATCACCATGCTATGAAAAGTTTCTGATTAAACAACTGAATGGTGACAGTCTGCAGGGAGAGCAGGGCCACGAGGAGGTAAACTGGGGCACCAGAGGTGTAGCTAAAGTTTTTGGGACTTTCCAGCCCAGTCCACCTGCTAGATAAATGCAATCAAGTGAGTGACTCCAGATGCCATCAGACAAAGAACCACCCCACTGAGCCCAGTCAACCCCCAGAATCATGAAAATGACAAATCATTGCTTGAAGTCACTAAGGTTGGAGATGGTCTTTATGCAACAATAAATCACATAAATAAGGAAGAAAAGAATGACTATGGCATCTTTGTCACTGCAGTGTGATGGCAAACCCTGCTGGACTCATTCACACATGCTCCATTTTTACCACTAAGTGCTGGCTATTTGTGGCCAAGTGAAGCACCATTGAATTTAACAGATGTCTGGGGAGCCCAAAAATTTGTAAGTAAAAATACCCTTAAATAAGCAAAGCAGAAAAACATGGATCTGAAAGCAAGCCCTGCACATAGTCCAAACTACAAGCTGTATAGCTAAGAAACAAATGCAGATTTGTCAAATGGGTGACTAAAGACTATACCTCTCTCTAAAAGAAATCAAACTGAGGCTGGGCACGGTAATCTGCCCAGTGGCAGAGGTAAAGAATCTGCCTCTCTCTAAAAGAAATCGAACGGAGGCTCATGCCTGTAATCCCAGCACTTTGGGAGGCTGAGGCAGGCAGATCACCTGAGGTCAGGAGTTGGAGACCAGTCTGACCAACATGGAGAAACCCCATCTCTACTAAAAATACAAAATTAGCCAGGTCATGTAGTGTATGCCTGTAATCCCAGCTACTCAGGAGGCGGAGGCAGGAGAATCACTTGAACCCGGGAGGCAGAAGTTGCAGTGAGCTGAGATGATGCCATTGCACTCCAGTCTGGGCAACAAGAATGAAACTCCGTCTTAATAAAAGGAAGTTGAACTGAAGAGGAGGATCAGAAACCCAATAGGAAAATGGGCACAAGATAGAAAGAGGCAAATCCCACTGACAAATATAGGAAAAAATGTCCAAAGTCACCAGCAGTCAGAGGAGTACAAATTAAACATGAATAAGCCACAGCTTACTTGTTAAAAACACTAATAGAGTTCTCCCTACTGCTAGTAAGAATATGGGATAAGGAGTACATTTATCAGTTGCTATGGAAATGTGAATTGTTACACCTTTTGAAACACAAGCTAGCAACATCTATTACAAACATACTAAATATGTAAGGGTATATGTTCAGAAACGTTTACTGCAGGCATTGTTCATGATGGCAAAAGGTTGAAGTGAACTGAATGCTAATTGACAAGGAAACCACTGAATAAATTATGATCCATCCAGACCAGGACTAGCTTCATTTAAGTTATAACAAGTGCCTTGGAGGGGTTTTGCCCATGAGGTATTGATGACAAAAGCATGACGCAGAAAAAATGTGTCTCAAATATGATCCTATTTTTTGAATCAGGGACAAAGCCTGTATCTGTATTTATTTTAGATGTGTACTTATATATGTATATCTCTGTATATATATCAATGTATGTGCAGGCAGAAAAATATGAAGACTGTATATGAAGTCACTAGCATGCATTATTACCTGGGAAAGTGTAGAGGGGTGACATCTGGAAAAAAGAACCCTAAAGGAGGCAGCCACACTAAAGGGAAAAGAAGAAGAATATAACACTTTTAGAGGTCAGGCACAGTGGCTCACACCTATAATCCCAGCACTTTGGGAGGCTGATGTGGGCGGATCACAGGTCAGGAGTTCGAGATTAGCCTGGCCAGCACAGTGAAACCCCATCTCTACTAGAAAAAATACAAAAAATTAGCCAGGCATGGTGGCGCGCACCTGTAATCCCAGCTACTCCGGAGGCTGAGATAGGAAAACTGCTTGAATCCCAGAAGTGGAGGTTGCAGTGAGTCTGAGATCATGCCACTGCACTCCGGCCTAGGCAACACAGTGAAACTCTGTAAAAAAAAAAAAAAAAAAAAAAAAAAAAAAAAATATATATATATATATATATATATATATATATATATATATATATGGCACTTTTGGCCAGTCGAGGTGGCTCACACCTGTAATCCCAGCGCTTTGGTAGGCTGAGGCAGGTGGATCACGAGGTTAAGAGATCAAGACCATCCTGGCCAACATGGTGAAACCCCGTCTCTACTAAAAATACAAAATATTAGCTGGGCATGGTGGTGCATGCCTGTAATCCTAGCTACTCGGGAGGCTGAGGCAGGAAAATCTCTTGAACCCAGAGGGTGGAGGTTGCAGTGAGCTCAGATTGCGCCACTGCACTCCAGCCTGGCAACAGAGCAAGACTCTGTCTCAAAAAAAAAAAAAAGTATATAGTACTTTTAAATGTATGATGATGTCACATTTATACATTTGTGTAAAATTACATATATGTAGGTATATATGTAAAAAATATATAAAATAGCATGAAAGCTGAAACACAAAATAAATAATGATTTCTATTTCATTGCTACATAGTCATCCCTGAGACATAAGATTCTGGCATTTAAAAATTATTCCTTTTGCTTTGCTGTTACGTTTGTGTAAAAGAAATACCACTGCTGACTGTGAATCATGATTCCTGCAAGATGCAGGCCAGACAGAAGTCCAGCAGCCCCTTTCCTCCAGCACCACTTCTGAACAGGAAAAGCTTCTCCAAAATAGGAGATGTGTCCAGTAGTCACCGACCTAGAAACTCTTCAACAACCAGCAGACTACACTCGGGTCTGACCATCTGTGTGTAGACAGGCAGTGGTGGTGCTTCCGGGCAGGCTCTGGGCCCCCTGCTCACAGCCAACCAGCATCTCACCTGCTTCCCACTTAGTAGCCCATGGGGTCTCTAGTCTACACCAGCCCCACAATCTCCACTCCAGTTTTATTTTTCTTCTTCACTTCCCTCACCCATTCATTCTCTCACACTTAGTTCCCAAAGCCACATTGTCTGCCCCTCCAAGGTCTTCAGGGGCTTCTGCTTATGAGCCATGCGCAAGGGAGAAAAGTCCAGCCAAGAGATCAGAGTTTATCTGAGAGCCATACTGTTCCTGACCACCAAATGCTGCCCTTCCGTCCCTTTTGCCGGCAGCAAGCCAGCCCGGCTCACGTCCACAGACTTTAGTGCTTCTAGTCCCTTTCAGGCACAGAGATACAAAAAGATTCCGTAAGAGCTATCGAAGTCCAGGTACTGGGGAAGGGAGAGGGAGTGACTGCTGAATGAGTACAGAGCCTGCTTTGGGGGTGAAAAAGTTCTGGAACTCAATAAGGCTGGTGGTTATACAGCATTGTGAATGTACTTAATGCCACTAAAGGGGAAGCTTTAAAATGGTAAGTCCTATGTTACATAGATTTTCCCACAACTGAAAGAAATCAAGGTTCCCAAAGACCTGGTGAGGGCTCACATTACCCTTTCCAGCTGCCTTGGTGCCAGTGTCCGTGGCTGTGGCGTTTGGGCTGCTCGCAGATGCCTCCTCTTCAAGCCCGCCTAGAAGAATGGAGAAGAAAGGGCCATGAGGATACATCAGCCTTCTCTGCATCAGCACCAAGGGATGAGGGAGCAAACCTGGTCACCTGGGGATGATCAGGATCCGCAAGACTCGTTCCACAAATCAACTGAGCTCCCACCACATGCCCCACACTGTTCTAGATGTGAGGGCGAAAACAAACCTGCTTTATATGTATATATATATATATATATATATATATATATATATATATATAACCACACATAATTCACAGATTGATAAAAGGATGACTCTCCTGGATCAGCTCAAGGGCACCCAGAATCAAATTTACAGTTACCAGGCAACCCCAAATCAGCTTCCTCACCCCCCACATCCATAAGAAAGGCCAAATGCAAACAGGATCCTCTCTGGGCCTGGAGTCTGCCTGGTGCAGAATGCAGGGAGATGTGCCCAGCGCTGCTCAATACTCGATGTGTCTGGCGACAGCTGCCTTTCTTACCCTGTGCACTCTCTTGGCGTTCGGATTTCCTCTGTGGTTTGAGTCTCCCTGCAGGAACTACTGTGTTGATCTTATAAATTAGACTCCATAGACACTGTGTCCACCAAGGACAGTGATGCTTGTATGTGTTTGTTAGTAGCCATCATTTATAAACTGTGTTAACAGTTGTCTCTGCCAGGAATGTGGCCAATCGCCAAATATTTGTTTGACCTACTATGTGCCCAGTGCAGTTTCAGGCACTGTGGATCCAGCAGTGAACCAGGCAGGTGAGTTCCTGCTCTCAAGAGATCATTCTAAATGGAAAGCTGGACCATAAACCGCAGGTAAGTAAATTAATGAATAAGATCATTGCAGGTTTAGAAAATGCTCTGAAGAAGATCAAATCCAGTGTGTGATAGAACACGATGGGAAGAGCTGCTTATCTGGTGGTTGGAGAGGGTCATTTAGGAGATGGGATGACCGTGAGATCTGAAAGGCAGGAAGGATCTGGCCATGTGGAGATCCTGGCTAGAGCATCCTCTGCAGGGGAAGGATCCAGAAGGAGCTTGGATGGGGACTGAGCTTGTCACAAGAGGGACAGCCACGGTGCGCAAGTGGGAACAGGGCCAGAGAGGGAGGCAGGCCCACAGGGCCTTGCCAGCCAGACTGTGCTGTGTCTTGTGACTTTATTCTCTCTGTCACGGGAACCCTGCAGAGGGTTTAAAGCAAGAGAGGAATGTGTGTTTTATTTGTGTTTTGCCAAGATCGCCCTGGGGCACAGGCAGACAAAAGCAGAAGCCGGATGAACAGTTAGGAGCCTTGCAAGGGTCCCGGTGAGGCAGGGTGGTGGTGTGGATCCGACACTGCAGTGGAGGTGCTGGGACCTGTCATGTTAGGGAACAGTCAGAGGCAGAGCTCCCAGGTAGGGCTGGTGGATTCGATCTGAGGAAGGAGAGAGACCACCAATGCCGCCTGCCCTTGGGATTTGAGTAACTAGGTGGGTAGTGACACCAGGGAGCAGATTTGAGGACAAAGACTATGTCCAGGAGAGACTATTACACACACAAACCACATCAAAGCAGCCGAAGGACAATCTATTTTTAAACAAACAAAAATATTCCTTGCATCTATTAAGAAACTTGCAGCTTACAAGTCAATTTCCCAGTCTCCCCTTTAACCCTGATTAGAACACTTTACGTGTAACCCCATTTTCCAGAGGAGAGAACTGAGGCACAAAATGGTTAGTTCCAGGTTGGCCAGGCCATCAGGGAAGCTGAGGGCTCAGGACGCAGTCTCCTGGTGAGACACCCGGAGGTCTTCCCTGTCCCCACAGATAAAGGCTTCCGGCACTGCTCAACCAAGGCTCACAAGGCACCATGGCCCCAATCCCTGGGCCTGGATGACCCTGGAGACAGCCACGTGGTCCTGCTCCCAACTCCCCACACGCAGACCACCTCTTTCCCTCTCTGTGACCGTGACATGGGCAGTGGCTGCAGCTGCTGGGTCTCCTGTAGAAAGGGTCTTGCTACAGCCAGGCGAAGATGGGAGGCTCCGTGCCTGCATCCTGTTCGTTCCGTTGCCTCCTGGCCAACCCGGAATCCACTCACACACTCCCTGCAGCTGCCGGGTGTTTGCTGCCAGCTCCCAGCCCTCTGGGTATTCGTCCAGTTGCGGCGATATCATTTCCTCTCGGGCTAAAGGTCAGGGGAAATCCTGATGGTATGAAATCGCTCAGCAGCAGAGGAATGTACCACCTGTGGTGTGGAGGCGAGCTGAGGCCAAGGCTCTGAGTCTAGCTCAGCCTCACTCAGCTGTGCAACTGCTGCGAGGAACGCGGGTGTTAGTATTTTTCATCTGTCAAATGGGCTATTGTGAGGACCAAATGAGGTAATGGGTTTGCTTAGGCATTTGTTCATTTAACAAATATTTATCCAACACCTGCTACAGGCCAGACGCTGTTTCTGCTGCTTGGGATACAATGCAGAAGAAACTGTACCCTGACCTCATGGAAATTATATTCAGATGAAGGATAGAGGAAAAAATGACAAATAGAGAACCAGACATTTAGGTCTGGAGGGTATAGACGGCTATCTGGAGAGAAGCATTTCGAACTATGGGAACAGCAAGTGCAAAGGCCCTGGGGTGGGAGTGTGCTTGGAGTGGGGAGGTGGGTACAGCTGGAATGAATGAGTGAGGAGGAGAGAAGATGAAGAGGTGAGCAGGCAGTGGAGAGGCTGGAGGATCTGCTCAGGTGGGACCTTGCAGGCCATTCAGGATTTTGGCTTTTATTCTGAGTGAACTAGACGGGAACTAGAGGACATGAAAGGGCTTTGCAACTGCACTGGGTTGGTACATGACAGGGATTATACGTAGTGAACAGGAGTGGGGAGACCAGGTGCTCCCAGTGATGGAGCAGGGAAAGAATTAGTGTTTACTAGGTCCCAATTATGGAGCAAACCACATGCTAAAAACAGTGCTGAGTGCTTTTCCTCCCCTTCAGTTTTAGATTTGCAGTCTCACGAAGACCAGTAACAAAAGGACCATGAACAGATGAGGAAAGAAGGCTCTAAGAGGTGAAATGGCTTGCTTGTCTTTAGGACGCAGGGATAGTAAAGGTGATGACCTGAGGTGGATCCCGTCTGACCCCCCCAAGCCTGTGCTCCTTTTCCTCAGCTTCAGTCACAGAAAGAACAAGAGCAGTGCCTGGTAGAGGCGGCTGATTCCCAGGGGATACAGGGCATTGTCCATCCGGGAGGTCTGTAAGAGGACCCGTGAAGTCACGGGCCTAGCTCAGCTTGAGATAAGGTTGGAGCCGTGGCAGTTAAGAATATACAGCCCTTCAGCCCGGCGTTGTGGCTCATGCCTGTAATCCCAGCACTTTGGGAGGCCAAGGCAGGTGGATCATTTGAGGTCAAGAGTTGGACACCAGCCTGGCCAACATGGTGAAAACACGTGTCTACTAAAAATGCAAAAAGTAGCTGAGCGTGGTAGCCTGCCTATAATCCCAGCTGCTCAGGAGGCTGAGCTAGGAGAATGGCTTGAACCAGAGAGGCGGAGATTGCAAGATCGGCCTGGATAACAGAGTGAGACTACTTCAAAAAAAAAGAATATACAGCCCTTCTCTGTCCTTATCAACAAGAGATGGAAGAGTTTGTCTTTTATCTCAGAAAGGCAGCAAATCTCATGCTTCCAGCACCGTCTACCAGGGACCTACCTGGAGTTAATGTGGTTTGGCCACTCTCCTGATGAAAACACTTCCATGGCTCCCCACTGCCCTTGGGATGGATTCCACCTGCTAACACCACTGATGAGGTCTTTAGTGATATGGCCCTGCCAGCCTCCTCCACCTGGTGCCTCAAGCCTCCTCTCCTACTTCCTCCACTGCCACTCTGTGCTCAGCTGCATTAAGAGTACCTTGGCTTTCTATTTTCCTCTTATTGCACACCTTCCTCAACCACACTCACCTTTTCATCTGGCCAAACCCTACTGGTCCTTCAAGTCTCCACTTCCTCTGAGCATCTGCCCCTCTGCTCCTCTTGGGGTAAAAGCCTTTCTCTCTGTTCCCCACAGCTCCCTGGCCTTATTCCCCATCTCTCCACAAGGTACTGGGATCCATTTACTCAGCCGAATCCCCCATGGTTTAGCTTTTAGTATCTTGAAGGAAGGGATTTTGTTTTGTCTAGCAATGCATACCCAGCACTAGTCCTGGCACATAGCAGGTACCAAGTAAAATATGGGATGAATGGATGAAGGGATGGATGGATGGATGGATGGGTGGGTGGGTGGGTGGGTCGGTGGGTGAATGAATCCACGGATAGATGGATGGACATACGAGTCATGTAGGCGATATTTAAAAAGAGAACTCAATCATTTCTAACTTAGCTTAATTGTTGGAAAAAATTGCCTTTATCAGATTATATGGAGAGAAGGAGGCAGCTATTCTTGGAACAATGGCTCTTAACCTTGGCTGCAATTTGCATCACCTGGGAAGCCTTTAAAACATGCTGACGTCTGGGTCCCACCCCTGGAGGTTCTTATTTAATTGGTCTGGGGCACGGCCTGGGAATGGGGAGTTTTAAGAGCTCCCCGAGCGATTCTAAGGTGCAGCCAAGGTTGAGATTTGTTACTCAGAGAACCCTGTAAAAGGAAGACTTATTTTGTGCTATTTTCTTACTTCCAACCTCTCTCCTCCTGAGCTCGTGAGGAATGGAAGACATGGACCTGGAGACAGACACTTTGTACACTAGGAAAAGCTGTGTCTCACATCTAAATCGATGGAAAGTGTTTCTCTGTTTCAACAAAAACTAGCAAATGAGACAGGTGTGGCTCTGGCTGTAACTGCAGCTGCAGGCACCGTAGAGCAAGGAAGAGAGAAACAGCCTGATGCAGACGAAGGCTGGGAGCAGGGAGGGGAGAGCTTTAAGGATATGGGGATGTATTTTTCCTTCGGTGTGACTGCAAGACAAATAGTGCTTGAAAAAAAAAATACATATATATATATATATATATATATATATATATATATATCTCCCCATATTTGAT